TATATGAAGAGGAGGCTGGGCAAATTTATCCTTCCAGGCATTAGTAGGTTTGAACTAGCAAAGCAATCTCCTTTGCATATCTTCAGAAAATGTAGTCTTTGAGTATCATACTTATACCAAATATTTCTCTTTGCTGCAGTAACAGACCATTTTTCAAGGATTATGTTTCAATTAAATGAAACCCTCCAGTGAGAAAAAATGGAATTCTATCAGTATAAATAGTTTACCTAAATTTTGTTTTTCTAATGTATATCAACAACTATTTCTGACTCACCTACTAAGTTCCTTGGAACTTGTATGACATCTTCAGCAAACTCAAGAAAGCTTCTAGCCTTTTTCACTGCATCCTGATCCTAATTTAAAAAGGGGAAAAGTTTTAAGACAAAAGATTAGCCACCTGAAATACTGAATTTTGGGGAAAAAAACTATTTAATAAAATATTTACCTCTCCATAAATATGAAATGTGCAGGTATCTTCATCTAGATCAATAGCAGTGACCCCAGGAACTTTTCTAGCTTGCTGAATATTAGCACCATGAGTACCAATGGCTAGACCCATCAAATCTTCTCGTACGATGAACTGTTCATGAAACCTCGAGGCAAGCTGTCTTGAACTCTGAAGAGAAATGCATGTCTAATGAATATACTTTATCAACTATTACAACTGTATTTACGTCAGCCATGTAAATTATCTTGACCCTGTACATAAGGGGCCTATAAATTAGTTTCAGTTGAAAACTAATAGGTTTTAGAAACTATCTCCCATAGCATAAGTGCTTTTTAGGTTACTGAAGGTCTATGCCATTTTATATATTTTTGTTAATAGGAAAGAGCTTGTTGACAATTTTCCAGGGTAACTTTTCAAAACCTATATGCAAGGCTGCCTTAGTTAACCAATAACATCAACAATGTAGTAATTAAGAAGCTGATCAAATGTTCGCAAATAAAAACCAGCTCACTAGGTCTAACAGACTCAATGCTATTTATGTACATAAAAAAGTTTTAAAATGCCATCTTTGCAAAAAACTTTATTCACTTCATTTTTATTAAAGGATTTCAGTATTTATATTTTTTCTAAAAACAGTTGCCATTTTTATAACTTTTCACTAGGTACTATGGTCTAAACACATCTCTGTTGAACTGATGACATTAAAAATACACTCTCCTTCCCCAGAACCTGAGGAAAGGAATAAAAAAACCGTTGGTCTTTTAGTAGTTAGTAGTTAAACTAAATGATCACAGAATGTCAAAGATTTAAAACTTATCTTAAACATGCATCTGAAACTAAAGTGAGATTAGAGTCTGTAAGACCTTGTGATCTGGATCCACAAGTATGATGAGTTCTTTCAAATATTCAGTGACGGCAAAACTAAGTTACATCGACACTCCAAACTTGTGGATAGTCACTGTTTTTAATAGCATTATCAAAATTTACTGTTTAGTTCTAGCATGCCATTAATGAAAACCAAACATATTAGTGGCTCATGTTGAAAATGGTAATTTCTTATAGGAATATGTGAATCTCTTTAATATTAGTAGTGAAGAAAGACAGGCATGCACACTAGTTTCTCATTATTCAACACACCTGATCATTTCAATGAATGAGTTTAACTAGTATAAACATTTTTAAAAGTACAATATCCATGGTTTTTTAAGACTGTAGTAGTAAAATGTACAAAATGTTCCTAGGACTTTTCAAAAAGTCATGTTTTTTGAGTCCAGGTTCATTAACCTGATTCATTCTTTTTCACTGATAATTAATTCATTGAAAAATAGTAAGCCAAAAGTATAACAGATCATTTAAGAATAATTAGATGTTTAAGAGGCATATGAGTATATTTCCATAATACTCACAATGAAAGTAAGGAGGCTGCTCAGGCCTAAAAGTTATAAGAGACTTGCTAAAGAAATCACAAAATTGTGAACACAGGGACATCAAGAAACAATGAGAGCAAAAAACAATTAAACAGAGCTCCATGGCCATAAGAAAAACAAAGCAGCAAAAAGGAGATTAAACTTTTCTTCTCCTGCTAAGAGTTCAGCAATCGCACATCAAGTTGGAAGGTGGCAAATTTTGCAGGGTTTTAAAAGAATACAGCCTTGGCTACCTTCTCTCTTAAAATGCTGTTTGGAACTCCTTTTTCTTTACTATTTCAACTGCACAGTGTTTACCCTCTAATGAAATGAATGAGGAACTCTGGAATTTGACAGTAATATACTTGAGCTGGCACATTAAACTAAAATTCATTGAGTTTCTATGGTCATGGATGGAAGTACTAGATAGTTATCAATGAAAATAAATGTATGGTGATGGAAATTACGGGAGGATTAATAAAAGTAGATAAAATGCACCTTAAGAGACGAAATAGTAAGTTAGGGAAATAGCCTCTGGCAGGAATCTGAAGACAGGAGTTTTAAAGAGTGACAACCAATTAGAATGAAGAAGTTCTAAACCCTTTTAAACAGAGATAAACATACATAATGAAAGGAATATGATTAGATATTTAAATACACTCTAGTACTTTAATGATAACATGTTATATGGAAGAAGCATTGCCTCATTTTATTAACAGCTTTGATAAACTTCTAGTAGAAGTGAACTGACCAGAGAAGTCCCTTAATATACACAAACTGCTGCTTAATTTTAGAACCTCAGGCATGAAAACTTTAGTATGATTATGCTTTGTACAATTTAATTTTCCAAACTATGGAACACAGGAATTGTTAAGAAATAGTAAATAAATGACAAGCTGCCCATATGCAAGTTTTGGCACTGTATAGTTATTATTTCTAGATAACCTTACAAGCAATGCTAGGGAAAGTGACATACCTCCAGCTGTTTACTGGCTTCTTCATTTCTCAGTATCAGAGACAACTTAGTACGCAGACTCCGAAAGTGCATGTCAATCAGCATATGTGCTCGCTTTGAGGTGACTTCACTGATGGACTAAATTATTTAAATTAACAACATTATTATCAAAGCAAATGCCCCAAATAAAATAAATCAAAAATAGACAACTCAAAAACACTCACCAAAATGACAAGCTGATAATTTTCTGGATCATAAGTTACAGAAAAGGCCCCAACTGCCTTTTTGAAGTCCTTATGTGCCGATTCTTTGGCACACCTAGAAATAAAAAGAATATCCATTGTTGAGGTGAATAATTGCCAACTATTAGCATAAATGCATGCAGACAGATTTATACTTAAAAGAATCATGGACTTTTTCCAAAATGGCTAACCAGACACACCACCTGCCAGAGCGTCTCAGTAAGAAGTTTTTTCAGATGAAAGAGAAAAAATGACCAAAAAAATGTAGATCAGATGTGGGGTTGAAGGAAGGGTGCCAGAAGGTGAGGAGCAGAACAAGAAAGAGCAAGGTATCGGCAAAGATCAACCCTCGAGAGGCTTAGAGTCTAGCAGGAAGGAAATCTAGATATCCAGGTACAAGAAGCTCAAAGGACCCCTGGGAGATTCATGATGAAGAGGCAATCACCATGACACACAGTCATTAGACTGGCCTAAGTAAACACGAAAGAGTCACTCCTACCAGCCATAGGCAAAAGCAACAGGTAACTTACAAAGGAAAAACCCATCAGACTAACTGCATACTTCTCAACAGAGACCTTATAAGCCAGAAGGGACTTAAGCCCTATTCTCAGTCTTCCCAAACATAATAATCGTCAGACTAGAATTCTGTATCCTGCAAAATTAAGTTTCTTATATGAGGGTGAAATAAAGAGTTTCTCAGACAAACACTGAGAGAATTTGTCAAGACCAGACCAGCCCTCCAGGAAATACTCAGTACTACATTATACGTGGATCAGCACAACAGACACCCACCAGCGTAAAATCATCCAAAAGCTAAAGCTTAGAGCCCATATACCATAATGGCTCAAGTGCTCAAAAAAAAAAAAAAAAGCAATAAAGTTCTACTCAACAGGATGAACAGAAATCCACCCCACTTACCAATTCTTTCAATAAATGTGAATGGCTTGAACTCCCCACTCAAGAGACACAGGCTGGCCGAATGGATTAAAAAATACAAGCCAAGTATCTGCTGTCTCCAGGAAACACATCTAACCCAAGGACTCATGCAGACTCCAGGTGAAGGGATGGCAAACAATATTCCATGCAAATGAAAACCAAAAGAAAGCTGGTGTAGCCATTCTCATCAGATAACACAGATTTCAAATCAGCAAAAATAAAGAAAAACAAAGATGGTCACTATATCATGGTGAAGGGAACATTCAACAAGAAGACATAACAATCCTAAATATTTATACACCTAACACAAGTACGTCCAGATTCATAAACCTAACCCTACTTGATTTAAACAAAATGATAAACAATGTCATCGTAATAATCGGGGACTTCAACACCCCACTGACAGAACAGGACAGAAACTAATTAAAGAAACAATGAACTTAAATGGAACTCTAGAACAAATGGGCCTAATACACATTTATAGAACATTCTACCCCCAAACCACTCAATACACGTTCTTCCCATCAGCTCATGGAACATTCTTTAAGATTGATCATATCCTAGGCCACAAAACATGTCTCAACAAATCAAACAAAATAAAAATTATACCATGTATCTTCTCAGACCACAGTGGAATAAAATTAGAAATAAATTCCAACAGAACCACTGAAATCTACACAAAGTCACAGAAATTAAACAATCTACTGCTGAATGATTACTGGGTCAAGGAGGAAATTAAGAAGAAAATCACAAGAGTCATAAAACTAAATGACAAAGGTGACACAACTTATCAAAATCTGTGGAATTCAGCAAAAACAGTCGTAAGAGTAAAATTCATAGCCATAAATGCCTACATCCAAAAGACAGAAAGATCACACAAACGAACAATCTAATGAATTCTCTAAAAGAAGTAGAAAAGGAAGAGCAAAACAATCCCAAACCCAGTAGAAGGAAATACTAAGGTTGGAGCAGAACTAAATGAAATCAATAACAAAACAATTATTCAGAAAATTAATGAAACAATATGGTTCTCTGAAAAAATAAAAAAAAAACAGGCATCTCACTAGATTAACCAGAAACAGAAAAGAAAGGACCCTAATAAGTTCAATCAGAAATGAAAAAGGAGATATTAAAACCAATACCACGGAAATAAAAAATACCATCTCTGAATACTATAAAAATCCCTATGGACATAAACTTGAAAATATGGAGGAAATGGACAAATTCTCAGAAACACACAACCTCCCAAGGCTTAATCAGGAAGAAATTGAACTCCTGAACAGACCAATATCAAGTTAACAAAACTGAAGCAGCAATAAAAAATCTCCCAACAAAAAAAAAACCAGAGGGTTTCACAGCCAAATTTTACCAGACCTACAGAGAACTAGTACCTACACTACAGAAATTATTTCAGAGCATAGAAAAGGAAGGAATCCTCCCCAACCCAACTCATTCTAATATGGAGCGAAAATCACCTTAATACCAAAGCCAGGAAAGGACACAACAACAAAAGAAAACTACAGACCAATATCCCTTGTGAATACAGATGCAAAAATTCTCAATAAAATCCTAGCAAACCAAATTCAGCTACACATCAAAAAAATAATCCACCATGATCAAGTGGGCTTCATTCAAAAGATTCAAGAATGGCTCAACACACATATATCTATAAATGTGATTCACCACAGAAATAGAAGCAAAAACAAAGACCACATGATCCTCTCAACAGACACAGAAAAAGAATTTGACAAGGTTCAGCACGTTTTTGTAAGAACTCTTAACCAAATAGGCATAGATGGAACATACCTCAATATGATAAAAGCCATGTATGACAAACCCACAAGCAACATCATACTGAATGGGGAAAAACTGAAAGCATTCCCACTGAGAACTGGAACCAGACAAGGGTTCCCACTGTCACCACTTCTGTTCAACACAGTACTGGAAGTCCTAGCCAGAGCCATCAGACAAGAGAAGGAAATCAAGGGTATCCAAATCAGGAAAAGAAGAGGTCAAACTATCACTCTTTGCTGATGATATGCTCTTATATCTAGAAAAGCCCAAATATTCTGCCAAGAGACTCCTGGAACTGATAAATAAATTCAGCAAAGTCTCAGGTTACAAAAGCAATGTACATAAATCAGTAGCATTTCTCTACACCAACAACAGTGAAACTGAGAATTAAACACCTTTCACAATAACAACAAAGAAAATAAAATACCTAGGAATATATTTAACCAAGGAGGTGAAAGGCCTCCACAGGGAGAACTACGAAACACTGAGGAAAGAAATCGGAAAATACGTAAACAAATGGAAAAATATCATGCTCATGGGTCCGCAGAATCAACATCGTTAAGATGTCTATACTACCCAAAGTGACTTACAGATTCAATCCCCATTAAAATACCAATGCCATTTTTCACAGATCTAGAAAAAATAATTCTATGCTTCATATGGAACCAGAAAAGACCCCAAATAGCCAAAGCAACTTTAAGCAAAAAGAACAAATCGGGAAGCATCAATTTACCAGGCTTCAAGCCATACTACAAGGAAGGATATAGTAACCAGTTTTGGTACTGTACAGTAACTGTACAGTAACCAGTACAGCATGGTACTGGCACAAGAATGGAGACATGGACCAATGGATCAGAACAGAGAATCCAGATATAAACCATCCTCATACTGCCATCTGACCTTTGACAAAGCTGACTAAAACATAGACTGGGGAAAACAATCCCTGTTCAATAATGGTGCTGGGAAAATTGGATAGCCACATGTAGATGATTCGAAGAGGATCCACACCTCTCACACCACTCACAAAAATTAATTCATGAAGGATAAACAGACTTAAACCTAAGGCATGAAATTATAAGAATTCTAGAAGAAGAGGTTGGAAAAACTCTTCCAGATACCGGCCTAGGCAAAGAATTTGTGAAGAAGGCCCCAAAGGCAATCACAGCAACAGCAAAAATAAATAAATGGGGCCTGATCAAATTAAGAAGCTTCTGCACAGCCAAGGAAACAATCAACAGAGCAAACAGACAACCTACTGAAAGGGAGAAGATGTCTGCATGCTATACATCCAATAAAGGGCTAATAACCAGAATCTACAAAGAACTCAAGGAAATTAGCAAGAAAATATCAAACAATCTCATTAAAAAGTTGTCAAAAGACATGAACAGAAGCTTTTCAAAAGATGATAGACTAATGGTCAATAAACATATGAAAAAAATGCTCGACATCTCTAATCATCATGGAAATGCAAATCAAAACTACAATTGAGATATTACCTAACCCCAGTGAGAATGGCTTTTATTAAAAAGTCCCAAAACAACAGATACTGGCATGGATGAGGAGAGAAAAAACACTTTGTACACTGTTGGTGGGACTGCAAACTAGTTCAACCTCTATGGAAAGTAGTGTAGAGATACCTCAAAGAACTAAAAGTAGACCTATCATTTGATCCAGCAATCCCATTACTGGCATTTACCCAAAGGAAAAGAAGACATCTTATTAAAAAGACACTTGCACTTGAATGTTTATAGCAACACAATTCATAATCGCAAAGATGTGGAAACAATCCAATTGCCCATCAATTCATGAGTGGATTAATATAATGGGGTATAGGTATACCATGGAGCACCACTCAGCCACAAAAATAAAAATGGTGAACTAATACCTTTTCTAACAACCTAGATGGAAGAGAACACCCTTTTAAGTGAAGTATTGCAAGAATGGAAAAACAAACATCACATGTACTCACTACTAAATTGGAACTAATAGATCAACACTCATGTGCACATATGGTAGTAAAATTCAAATAAATGAACAAGGTGGGAGAGGGGAGGAGGAGATGGGTAAATTCACATCTAACGTGTAGAATGCACATTATCAGGGTGATGGACAACATACTTACAACTTTGACTCAAACTGTACAAAAGCAAATCACGTAACCAAAACATTTGTACCCCCACAATATTCTAAAATGTAATAACATAATAAAAATAAAGACGAATCATGGATTCATATTAAATTTGATTTATGTAAAACATGCCATATCCATTTAAAAGTTTAGTTCCCTTGCTGTACATCTCTGAAATATTCAGCCAAACCAAGCATTTGATATAGAAAAATGAAAAAAAAGAAGTCATGCTCTTAAGGGATTACTGGTAGGCTTAGATCACCAAGGAGACATATTTAGAAGAACCACTCTACTCTGCAGGTTTCCTGATTTCAGTTACATATAAGTCAGTAGTTTTCTTGAGCCAACTGTTAGAAAGCTTTTGGGGATACCTATAAGCTATCTGATTTTGTTTTGTTGTCTTTTTTAAAGAAAAACTGCTGGCCAATTTGAGAGAAGGAAACATATAAAAATGAGAAGGCACAAATATTTATACACATACACAATCTCTAGAATCAAAAAGGATTTCTGTGTATTCTGAACTGCAATTTAATGTTTATCTGAGGCATAACACATCCAAATAAAATTCACCATATCCTCTTGACGAAATTTTCTACAAGGAATCTCTTATCTAAAGTTTTTAAGCATTATTTGAGATCAAGGATTATAAGACAGAGACGACCTTTTGAAGCTTCTTAGCTCTACTAATTACATACTTATCTGAAGACATTTTAGCTAAAAGGGAAAGACCTGGCAAAATCTTTATAGCATAGAATTTGATTTGTGACTTATGACAGAACAATCACATGTGTTTTATTCATTTCAAAATCTTAAAATTTGTAAATGAAGTTAATTAAACCTTAGAAAACAAATATACGTTGTGTACATCAGCCATGTACCTAGCCAAGTTAAGTTTAAACAAGTACAAGGCTGGCTTGATTATATAACTAGGAAAAGCTAAATAAATTTTTTCCCACTACTTTTGCAAGCCAAACCATTTTTGCCAAAGTTCACTAAATTTAAAATTCAATTTCTACTATTTTAAATGTATATTTTCTTAAATTAATCGTATATTGCCTGTAAATTCTCACCATTTCATGTGTACCAACTTACATTTGTCGTAAGTCTTCTGGCACGTCCAGTTTGATCTTATGGAAAGTATCTTTTGTGGCAGGTTTGTTTGGATTAACTGATCTTAGACGTTCAATTGTGACAATCTCATTGTATGTAGCATCACATGCTGCATATTCTATCACGTAAAACTGAGAGAAAAAAGTAAAAGTCATTCCTAGTCATAGTTTTTATAGTAAAAGCAACAAACTATCCCTATTCGGTTACTTTAAAATAGATTTTCTAGAGGGGGAAAAATTTAATAAACTGAAACATATCAAATAGTGAAAACATTTTAATAAAATGACTCAAAATGAGATACTACTTCAGACTGAAATCCAGACTGAAATGTAGAATCTGGGTTTAGAAAAGGGAATAGCGTAAGAAAAGAAATTTAAATAAACATTTTCCTACCTCACCCTTTATCATCCTCACTTTAGCTAACCACCAACAGCAAGGCTCTTTTTCATTTGCTCTGGAATAAACCTACACAAAAATCACAACACAGAATATTTAATGATTAATATAATTTTGAAATCCATAGATAATTAGACATTGAGGAAATTTTCTTAAAATGCCCCTAGGTATCTTCAAATCATATGCCATATACCTTCAACCAAATTGTACCCTTATGTACCCTGAATTAGACAGAGATACATAATCAGAAACTACCTGAGATTGCCTGGGAGCTCCCTATAAAAATCAATCTTCCTATCTTTCTGTTCTACTTCAATAATAATTAGTACTTTGAACACAGATGCTAAATAAAACCTGACCATTCATAAACATAGGCATAATTTCCTTGGATAGTGAGCTACAAAAATGTATCTAAAAATGTACAAATTTACTTTTGCTTTATTCTAATAAGCAAAAACTGGGAGCTACTGCCTCTGGCCTACTGCCTGGTCACTATATGAGTAAGACTACTGACCACTCATCCCACTAAGGATACCATGCTGGCATTCATGTCTCCTGGGGACTAACTAAATGGACAGATTCTAGGTCATTCTCTGGTCTCCTACTTCCTCTCTACTATAAAGGACAACTCCACACTGGTAATCCTCTGATATCATCTTCCTGTTCCCTGGCACACTGTGGATCAGTTCTTCTAACCAATCTCTCCGGTGACCATTTCAAAGTTCACTTACGATGTGCAGCATGGAACCTTTTGTGAAGACGCTAGCAAATCAAGGTTAATAGGAAAAAAGACAATATGGTATACATGGAGAGGTAGACAGAATTACTCAGAAGCAGAGAGGACAAGGAGGTTGGCGAAAAGAGGCCCAAGAGGAGAGAGAAGTACAGAGTCTAAGGTTGACAAGCAAGTCAAGGCTCAAACTCATCTCCGTTTACAACTGAAGTTAATGGTTATACCATATAACAGCTAAATACAACTTAACCTACCTTTCCCTCTTGCCTCCATCACTTTCTCAACTCTGCTCTTGCCAGAGAAATAACCTAAGCTAATTGTTATGTAATACAGTGAGGTCATTCTAGCAAGTGTCTCATTAGTCCCCACTTGTCATGTGACTAAATTGTGGAAAAGTCCCTTTTGTTCCTCCATCAAAGACTACTGAGTACTCCTGATATAGATAGCCCAAAAGACCTGGTTCTTGCCTTCAGAGAGCTTGAAGTCTGCTGAGGAAGCAGACGGCTAAGTATAGACAGTGTTTCTGTTCCCTATTAGGATCTGTTGCAAAACTATGCCCAGTTGCCTACATGTAGTAGGTACTCAGTACATTTTGGCAAATAAATAACACTTTATCCTATTTCCACTTTAAAACTCTTGAGAGAAGAACACGGGCCTGGACAATCAGAGATCTTCCCTGACCACTCTCTAAAATAGCACTCTTGCCCCTACATCACCTTCCACCCTCCCTCTTGCTCTTTTCTTCGTCTGACTTACTCACACCTGTCATATTAGCTAGCCTCATTGGAATGTGACCTCAAAGGCCAAGGACTCTGTCAAATAAATGATGTCCAGAAAAAAAGACAATCAACCAATCAATAAATAAATGGCACAGAACTCTGTCCTGTTTCACTGCACCTTTAGTACCTAGCGCAGCAAATAAGAACTCAAAGACCTAGAACCATTTTACTTTACCTATACAAATGTCTACTTAGCTGCTTCCTTCATGTTGCAAATATTCATGAAGTTGCAACTATTAACAGGCATTATATTTAATTTTGTGGAGAAAGAAGAGAAGCAGCTCAAAATGTGTGTGAAAGGGTAGGAAGAAGAGAATACTACAAAAAGTATACAAAATACTGTAAGTGCCTTAAATACAAAACCAATTTCCAATGGAGAGAGAAATCACAAACATAATGTTTTTGTTCATGTGTTAGATCTCTAACAGCACCTTTCAGTCAAAGAGCTCAATGGCAGATGAGGTGGTTCACAGTATGTCCTGCAAAAAAGAGGTTTTGCCTATATGTATAAACTAAAGGTTGTAGGCTGTTTTAAAAATACATACCAGGAAGATTCACTGCTATGTAAAGAAATTTTAGGAAACTGATCTATAATAAAGCATGATTTCTTTCCTTTGTAAAATTAATTTTCCTAATCCATTTTGCTTAAAATGGAGACACAGTTGTAAATGAACAACATAGCATTCAAACAAAGATTCCAAGATTGAGGAAAGGGGGAAAAGAAGTACTAGTGGGCAAATGAACTTTGGGTAGTGACTTTCAAATGGATGTGCTGACTGCTGCTCAAATAGCGAAATTTAAGCACCACATATCATTTCAAATCATTATTAAGACGGGTTAGTCAAAAGCACATGTCCATCTCAGCTATAATTTTCAAAGGAATTTAAATAGTGTTAAAGACAAGGTATATTAAAAAAAAAAAAAGCACAGGCGAATTAAATACCCCAACTCCTTCAATGCTTAATAACTCTACAGCAGGGGAACTCACCTCAACTTCATCACTTTCATTTATATCTTTATTATAACCTACAGGAGGTGGGAATCTGACATCATGGAATGGAATCTGCCTCTCTGGCTGCCAACTGCAAATAAGCAAATATACAATTATTTAGCATGCTTTTCATGTTTAACTGAAACAATGACCACTCTGCCATCAACTTTTGGGTAACTGTGACCCTCTTTTTCTAGTTTAAAGAAGCAAATGCTTTAAAATGGGTCAGTTTTTGCTGAGTGCGGCATAATGGCAACAGGAACATTTCAACAAAGTCTGCATGCAGCACAGCAGCCTTGTACTTCTATTTGGAATATTTCTCTAAACACAATAGAACAACATCATGATTTTTAAAACTCTTTTTTCTAATAACTTCAACTTCTCAGAATTTTAAAAGACCACAACAGAAATTTCCTTTGATATTTAAATTAAATGTTAGTATCATTAATTGTTAGTAATATCGACATACTTTCACTTGCAAAGGAATTTTAACCACATTCCAAAGACCATAGTAACTGCCTGCTAATTCCCAAGCAAAATGGGGCAGTCAGCATGTTAGCAATTCACAACTCACTTGTCCCCCTTTAAATTTTAGATCCCACGAGGTGGTCAATCCTTGTCATGGATGCTGATCAGCATGACGTTATCAGCATGCACTGGGATGGTGGGGTCTCCTAAACCACAGAAACCCGATGGAGACAGCCTATAGGAGTTCGATTAAGTTGCCTACGTTTTTTAAATTTAAAATGATATGGAACAACTTTGAAAGATACCAAATCATTCTTTTATACCCACAATGATATAAAATATTAAAAGGCAGACTTTGCGAAAACGCTGAAAATTCAACTGCTGGAGTAGTCACTTCTGGATTCTTTTTGGGTATTTCATTAGCAAATATTGAGATCTATTCTATGCATTATGTCAATATTTTGCTAAAGGGCTTTCTTAGTAAAATTCTATTGACAAAAGTGCTGTTTTATTTTTTTAAGAAGAGCTATTATATAAGGGGGTAAATAATTAAGTCAGAATTTGTGAAAATGTGATTAGAGCCTAATTTAGACTGAACCTTTCCCTGAATTATTATACAGAGGAAACTATTTTGAAAACTATAAAACTTAAAAAAATTGTGTTTACTTCAGAAAAGGCTTTTTATACTTATTGAAAGTTAGTGACTTTTAATCCATTATAATGCTAATTCATTGCTAAATTTTACTTGTAAATCATATATATATTTTCTTGGTTTCAAAGAAGGAAGAATTATTTTAAGTCTTAAGTGCATAGAGATAAAAATTTAAATTCGTTATTCAAAAATGTTTATAGAAACACCTTTATGCTTTATGAAATCTTTAGGAAGCACCTATTCATAAAAACCAAGCACCTAAAACAACTTGTTATCATACTAATAAGAGTTTCTTCATGAATGATAGAAAAGGTAAATATAACCCGAAGTTCTATAAAACGCTTTCTTATTTTGTTTTTAACAGAAAAACAAAAAGGAAACACACAAGGGGAAAAAGACTACTTTGGTAGGGACCTATTAAATCCTCATGATGAGGCCGGGCGCGGTGGCTCATGCCTGTAATCCTAGCTCTCTGGGAGGCCAAGGCAGGACAATCGTTTGAGCTCAGGAGTTCGAAACCAGCCTGAGTAAGAGCGAGACCCCGTCTCTACTAAAAATAGAAAGAAATTAATTGGACAACTAAAAATACATAGAAAAAATTAGCCAGGCATAGTGGCGCATGCCTGTAGTCCCAGCTACTCAGGAGGCTGAGGCAGAAGGATCGCTTGAGCCCAGGAGTTTGAGGTTGCTGTGAGCTAGGATGACGCCACGGCACTCTAGCCCGGGCAAAAGAGTGAGACTCTGTCTCAAAAAAAAAAAAAATACTTCATGAACACAAGGAAAAACAGATGATCTATTTCAAATTCCCAGGATGACAAGGGGCTTGAAGAGAAGCTTCAATGCAGATACGGTACAGGAGATAAATAATTAGAAGATCTAAAGATGGAATGATTTTAAGCTTATGGTAAAAATATGATTGAAAACCAAAAAGAACTAAATCTGATATATCAATGTATAAACTAGACAAAATTCTCAAATGCATAGAGGAAATTAGTGTTTGCTTAACATTTTAGATTATAGATTACAGGAGAAACTAAGAGTGGCAAATAAAGATAACAATCCATTTATAGGGAAGAGTGTTTTCCTAGTGATGGGACTAAGTTAAGTAACTAAAGAGTATAATTACAAGAAAGAAATTACTCTCCCAGTTATCAAAGATTCCTCCATTAGAGGTGTGATGCTGTTGTCTATTATATAACCATGGGTTCTTCAAACAGCAGAGAGGCAAATTCTGAAACGTTTGGCTTTATGTATTCAAAGAAAGTTATTCCATTATTCAAACTTCTATTTTGAAGTGAGATTATTAGTCTAGAGGTATAAATAGGCTTGGATACTCTCAACCATTTTCTCTGGCTCCCTAAATGTGTATCAGGCATCAAAGGATACTACTTTGTCCAGTTGCTAGCCAAAACGATCTGCTAACAGTCTAATTACAGAATTTATTTTCTAGATGCTGAAATGCAGGGCTGCTTTTACATTATTTCAGAAGATGCTTTTTATTTATTGCTCAGTATGTCTCGATCACATATTACATTTTAGCAGATTTATTGAGATACAACTCACATACCATATAATTCATCAATTTAAATGTACAATTCAATGGTTTTCAGCATATTCACAGATATGTGCAATCATTAACAGTCCATTTTAGAACATTTTCATCATCTCAAAAAGAAATCCTGTATTCTTTGGCTATGGCTTCCCCTCATCATTCCCCTCCCCCAACCCACCCCAGCTAAGCACTAAGCAACCACTAATCTACTTTCTGTCTCTATAGATTTGTGGCCTGCTTTTGATATACTATTAATTCTCTCAGTACATAAAAGCCAAAATGTCATAACTGTCTAACTATTCATCAGAGTTCAGTAAAATCCTAAGATCATGGCCCACATCTATACTTTGGTTAAGTAGATTATATGTACTTTAGAATCTTGCCCACTACCATGAAAATAGCTTTCATTACCATTCAAAAAATTTAGTCAAGAGGCTTGTTTCCCCCAATAAAATGTTAACACCTATACTGTTGATGGTTTCATACAGCTAATATTCCTAGGCATATAAATATTTTGATTTTCCCATCGAGCAAAAGGAAACAGAAAAGATTAGCTACTGCTATCACTGATTATAAACATATGAAACAAAAAAATAAGTTAATGGGTAATTATTTCTGATAAAATATACTAAACCGTTGCTCCTTATGTGTTGTGAGGAAAAAATTAAAAAAAAAACATACCAGATAATTAAAGTTATCAGCTTTAGATTTTATGTTATCAAACTCACATGGAGTTTTTTTTAAACCAATAATCATGAATCCCTTCATCTCCATCTTTTAAAAATCACAAATTATCCTATCCAAACTCTCAGTTACTAATATAGAAGAATCTGGTTTATTTCTTCACATTCACGTGAACTGAGATGTAAGGATCAATATTACACAATAAGGGACCTCTGAGGTCATTAGCAGGAATGACTGCTAACGACCATTCCATTGGTTTAATGTTGGGTTGTTCAGAAACATCTTGGTCAATAACATAATGATCCATTCCTGAAAAACACTCAAACTAAACTTCAATTTAAAAAATGAAGAGTAAAAGGAATTAGCATAAAATATTAAAGCACCTGAACATTAAAATTCTATGTCAAGAGACTTACTTGTTTTCAAACGCAACTGTTATTGAATCTTCATGAACATCCTTTACAAATGCCTGTAAAAAAAACACCACAGTTAAATTAATTTTTAAGCTTAAAAATCACTTTTGTTTTTATGTTTTTAAGAATACAATGGAGCTTCGAACGAGGGTCAGTTTTTGAGGAGCATTCATTAATCACATCTATATTGCCACCTACTATGTGCTACTTGAAATACTAAATTAAAAAAAAAAAAAGATTGCTCCAAAGAGTTCCACAACTCAGAAGAGAGACAAACATACTGGAATTTACAATGTGGTGGTGAGTGCAAAGCTCTATATACATTTTAGGCTAGAAATATTGAAAACTAAGAAAATTGTTCCAGAGCTATATGTTAGCCAGTATAGACCTGTTGTAACCTATCTTTTTCTGCTTAATAAAATTTTAGGAGAATACAACAGCAAATAATTAAATATAACAATCATATGCTACAAACGCCACTAAAAAAAGTCCAACTGCTACAGTTTAATTAAATTCTCAATCTCACAGGCCTTGGAGAAAAATATAACATAAAATCCAGAGGTTTAAATCTTTTATATCTGATGACACAATGACTAGTAATCTGCAGACAGATAGAACTAAAGTAATAGCTAACTAATTATCAAGAATTCTTTAATCAGCATGCTGTCTTGTAATTCTATAAAATGAAGTTTTTAGTAGGTATAGAAAAGGAGGGTTCGGGTTTGTTTGTTTTTTGACAATTAGAAGAGTAGGAAAAAGCATAAAGAAACGCAAAGGGCTTTATATCTCAATTCATTTTAAAATGGCTTGGAGAGATTTAAGCTTCTTACTCAGATTTGTTCTGTACGTTTCTTTCAGTGGTTTCTCCCTGCCTGTAGGATCATGGCCAAACTCCTCTGGCTGTAAAAAGCTTGTCATGATCTGCTCCTACCCCTCAAGCTTCATCTTTCACATCCTTTGAGTTTGTGATCCAACAATGCTAAACTACTTGTGCCATACTCTGAAGTTTCTGGGCCTCTCCTTTCTTTCCTATTGTCCTTCCCCTCTTTTTTACCTAGCTATCTCCTGTCAGTCTTCTATGTTTCAATTCTGAGGTCACCTTCAATGGGAAAACCCAGAAGAGTAGGTTAAATTCCTGTTCTCTGCACTCTCATAGCAACCTATGCCTATCCCTACTATAAACTTACTCCATTCTGTTACTATAGCCCATTTTCTCACTAGAAATAAGCTTCCTGAGGGTAATATCAGGTCTTATTTTATTTAGTTATATTTCAAAGTGCCTAGTATGAACACAATAAATATCTATTAATATTAAATGGATCATTGCCTAAGAGGTTCCTCTCCCAGACTTGGGGAAAAGGTATGTGGCGTGGGTGGTAGCAATAGGTTGATAAGGGAAGACATACTGAAGAAGGTGAGGTTCCTACTGAACCTTAAAGGATGAGGAAGAATTAACCAAACGAAAGGGAGTGGAAGACGGAGAGGCATTTCACTAGGTCTAAGGGGCAGCAGGCACAAAAGCTTAGACACTGAGAAACAGCTTGCATATGACAGAAATAAATCCTTTGTCAACAAAGAAGTCAAGGCAATTCAATGGGAAAAAATAGTGCTTTCAACGAATGGACCTGGGACAATTGGACATCCACATACAAAAATGTATTTTAAATTTTGACCTTTACCTCATACTATATACAAAAATCAACGAAAATGCATCAGCAACCTAAATGTAAGTGCTAAAATTGTAAAATTCTTGGGAGAAAACATTGTAGTAAATCCTTGTGACTTTGGATATTGATATCCATGTTGGATATCAGGAAGATAACTAACTAGTTCAGATTACAACCATTCTTTAACTTCTGTGTCCTCAGTAACTGGTACAACTTCCGGCATATAATGGGTGCCCAATAAATATTTTAAACATATGATTCAATGCAAACGTCTTGGTAAGCAAATATGTCTTCAAAGGCCTGACATAAAAGGATTCTTTTAAAAAAAAACAGAACTTCCCAAAATATCAAATTAAAGCATATGGAATCAAGTATTAATTAGTTGCTCCTAAGAAAAACTATGGAAGCTGAGACAGGGCCCTTGAAAACACTGACATGGAAGCAACTTAGAGATAACAAACTTCTGAAATAAAGCTTAAATGACTAAAAGTAAAGCTATGCTAAAAGATTAAAGTTCCCTTGTAAGATCAAGGTGGACTATAATGGCATCCATGTGTTCTGTTATACCCAAAGTGGCTAAATTATTATTTCTATAGCATATTTTGAGAACTCTACTTTAATATTGACCATGATGTTTTAGAATATACTAGATTTCATAAGGGTGCATGCCCCCAGTACTCTACTGGGCTGCTTGCCTCACACTACTATTTCAGCAACAGAGAAGCCAGATTTTGAGCTAAACTGGCAGGAATTGGTCACTGTTAGGCTCTTAGTTTTATAATTTAAATCATAAAAACTAAGGCCGGGCGCGGTGGCTCACACCTGTAATCCTAGCTCTCTGGGAGGCCGAGGCGGGCGGATTGTTTGAGCTCAGGAGTTCGAAACCAGCCTGAGCAAGAGCGAGACCCCGTCTCTACTAAAAATAGAAAGAAATTAATCGGACAACTAAAAATATATAGAAAAAATTAGCCGGGCATGGTGGCGCATGCCTGTAGCCCCAGCTAGTCGGGAGGCTGAGGCAGGAGGATCCCTTGAGCCCAGGAGTTTGAGGTTGCTGTGAGCTAAGCTGACGCCACGGCACTCTAGCCAGGGCAACACAGTGAGACTCTGTCTCAAAAAAAAAAAAATAAAATAAAATAAAATAAATAAATAAATAAATCATAAAAACTATGGAGAATGGGAAGGAGAACTTCCCTGGCCCCCATTTCTCCTTTGTGCTTGCATGATGGCTAATAACAAATCAACAATCTGCTTTTTGAGGGTGGTATTATATTATGAATTAAAATCAAGACTCTTATTAGGAGGTGATTGATCGATCCCTTATTTACAAAAAAGGGCCATTGCTTTTGTCTTCATCCTTATCTAAAGTTTTATAATGTTTGCCTGTCTTGGCAGTAATTAACATTAGTTTCTTACTGTATATTATATGCTAAAAATGTTAAGTACTTTAGTCAGCTGACAGAACCTTATTGTAGCTGAGTGAAGAACTGTTCTCAGTAAATCAAGCATCTTTCCAATACTATTGCCTATGCTGTCCACCATGGTAAGCTACTGGTCATGTGTGGCTATTTACATTTAAATTAATTAAAATTAAATAAAATTAAAATCAGTCTCCCATTCACTCTTGACACATTTCAAGTGTTCGAAAGCCACATATGGCTTAGTAGTAGACAGCGCTGATGTAAAACATTTACAAATGTTGGGCAGTGTTTTTGGACCCATCATAAAAGCACTCTACTGTCAGCCTTATTACTACATTGCTATATTTTTATTTTTTTCTATTTGCCTAAAAATTATTGCCCATTTTAATCATAGTTATTCACCACATTTGCTTATTTCCTAAAATCAAACATTCCCTCAAAAGAGGAAGATCTGCAAGTGTTGTGACTATTCAAAAAGAAATTAGAAGTTTTTGCAGGCTCTGAATGCAATTCCAGATGTAGTGTCAGAAATGGTTTGAGTAATCATCATAGCCTAACAGGGCCACTGCCTTCCGAGTTAATGAGGCTTATCTGTATATGAATGTTTGCATGATTGTTTCAAAATCAGTCATTTTTAGTCACCATGTTCATATTAAGTGAAGGAAGAAGGCATGTAATACCTTCTGGTTGCTGCTTTAATAAGTAGAATAAAAGAAACTCATAGGTAGCCTCTGGCCTGCACTCACGCCAAGGACAAACACCTCCTCCTCCTGTGAGTTCTAAGGCCTTTTATTAAACCTTCACTCCAACAAGGGTTCCTCTTTCTGCTTCTCATCAAACTTTCCCCAGTAACCCTCCTTTTGATCCTTCCCTTACCCCACCCCACCCCACCCCATACCCTGCTTCTCTGGCCACCTCCAGAGCACGATCACCCCACCCATCACCAACTTGGAAAACTACATTTTGTTGTGATCCCTATCTATCAAGCAAAGTTGGGTGTTTGTGGAGAAAACAGGTTAAGGAGATTCCTAAGAGGTTTCCAAAGACAGTAAATTGAATGAATTTGAATGAATGCACAAAGGGAACTACACTGTACTAGATGAGAGCTAGGGCTCTTATTGGAGTCAGTGGGCTTAGTGGTTAAGAGTTGTGAATCAGATCTAGGTTCAAAATCTTGGCTCTACCACATAACAGCTGTGGGACTCTCCAAGAAGTGATCTCTGGACCTCAGACTCTTTGTCTGCAAATAAGGAACTGGATCAGCCTCCTAAGGTTGTTGTAATAAAATTACACACATAGGTGGCACTACATAAACGAGAGATAAAGTAGAGAAGAACATATTTTATAAAAGACGCTGAACCATAAATGCTCTTGTATTTGGAAGAGTTAGATCCCAACAAGAAAAGCACACTTAAAAAAAAAAAAAAGCTTTGAAAATTGTGATAAGAAAGAAAAAGATGCTGCCAACAAAGATACTAAATATTAAAAGATTACTTAGACACTGGGAATAAAAAATGTGATGAAAATATTTAGGTTTTGAGAAAGGTGACAAAGTACAGTTAAAGACAGATACGGTTCTCCATTGGGGGGAATAAATACGAAATTTTTAAAAATCCCCAATTTAATGGCTATTGGGCCAAAGAGACAATCACAAAAATCATACTTAACCAAAGTATGTAATGACTAGAGCTATACAATTCAAACATTACATTACCAGGACTAATGAAACAAAGAAAGTCCATCCCTATTTGGGTAAACTCTTATTCCTCTACTACGCCTTACATCCCCCTTAGCTTAGTAAACTGTCTTACAAACAGGAGACACTGGTGACAAGAAAGGTTATTGAGTATAGAAGTTTCAGTGTAAGCCCCCAACCACCACTGAATACAACTACTACAGTATCAGTAAGCTTCTACCACTTACTGAAGACAGAACATGTAGTGCTATGATAATTTTCATTAGAAAAAACTTGCTGCATTGTAAAATATTCTTCCCTAAGGAAAACCTGCAAGAGAGGATAGGGACATATGAAATGTGATAAAATTCGACTGAAACCCAAGGCTTCATACATAAAGTGAGTTATCACTTTGTCCCCCTTTGTATATGGGCACTAACAATGTAAGGGAATAAACAAACAGAAACAATAAACCTCATCAACAGTCCTTATGACCATAGCATATGTCCAGAACACGTCACTTCATAAAGGCATTTACCACAAATTATAAAAAAAATACAATTCTTTCTGGCTCATCCTGACCAAAAGACAACACAGACATGTAGAGAGCAAACAATATTAATGAGTTATTAATTTTCCTTGTGTGTATGTATTCTAACTTGAGTATTTCTGAAATACTCTCAATGTAACAAAAGCAAGCTTATTAGCAGGATCAAAGATTTCTAACTTTATCTTTCCTTAATAGGCATTCACATGAAGAATTGCAGTGATATATGTCAAGGTGTAAGAGTTAATAAAAAAGGAAGCTCATACACAAACTTAATATTTCACGACATCTTTGTATCAATAGTAAAAATTGGTTAACATAACCTTTCAACTAGTTAGAGGATGCTAAGGCAGTGTTGTAGTAACAAATACACAAACACCACAATGAAATTGAATAATGAGCAGGAAATCAAATTGAATTAATCTTTTCAAGCTAAATTTCATCACTTCAGGAAGTGAGATGCCTGATTTCTAACCCCAGGTCCCACCTTTATAGCTCTGCCTCTTAGTAGTAAGACAGTTGCCATAATCTCTCTGTATATCTACATCCTCATCTAAAAAAAATGGGAATAACAGTATCTCAAATTTGTGGGGGAGGATTAAATAAGTTAACAGAGGTAAAGCACCTAGAACAGTGCCTGGCACCTAGAAAGCACCCAGCACCTGTTAACTATTACCATAATCATGACTCTAATCATCGCAGGAAGCACATTCCTATAGTGGGCAAGAATCAGAAACCCAAGTACTATACCACTGAATTTTGCATTTAATTAGTCATTTGGAGGTTATGAGAATACTTGAGTATGGAGTTGGAACAAAAGCGGATTTAGAACATGTGGAGATGTGTTCGCTTCGGCAGCACATATACTAAAATTGGAATGATATAGAGAAGATTAGCATGGCCCTTGAACAAGGATGACATGTAAATCCGTGAAGCGTTCCATATAAAAATAATTTAAAAAAATAGAACACGTGGAGAAAGAAAAAGGGAAAAAAGTTAAAAAAAGACAAAAGGGAAAAAAAGGATGCATCCACAAAGACACTAAACACTAAAAAGGGTATTTAGACTCTGGGAAGAAAAAAATGTAACTGACCTGAATAATTCACTTCCTGGAAGTACAGAATAACTAACACCTTTATGCAAAGTTAACTCAAGAGCCTTCAGAGAAAACATGAATGCAAGTTTATTTGCATTTTATGCAAATTTATTTATAAACTTACACATTTGCAAACCCTGTGCAAGTTTATTTGCAGTAAAACAGTAATTTCTAGCAGGCTATGTTGCTAAAATGGCATGTTAGGCCACTAATAATGTCTTCATTTAAAAAAAAATTTCCTCGTTTGTACATTTTATCATATTTAGCTTTTAGTTGCCATAATAATATTCACCAAATGAATGTCTTCAGATACCAAACTTAAAAAATAAGATTAAAGTATAATCTAACAATAAAATTGCCATCTAGCATAATTACACCATATCACAATAACGAATCTGCTATGAGCCACTGTATCTTCAGAAAATAAAAAGGTTTTTTATCTTATGTCTCCAACATATGATTTATCCATCTGTAGTAATTTTCATACTAGCACATAAAACCTACAAATCTTAGGATTTATTAATGCATTTGTATTGGAATGATATGCATTCCATATCTAAAATAGAGTTAATTCATTACCATTCTCAACACATTATAACGCCTAGTCCAAAGAAAACTGCATTATTTGGACCAGATGCCCCTAGAATATAGACCTTATTTTGACATTATTCATCTAGAAAATGTTTTTAAAGATTTTATGAGAAGTATCTTCACGGTTTAAAAAATATACCCCTAAGGGCTCTAGAAGTGGTACACGTGACCAACTTTTTCTAAGTCAAAGAATACACCTAAGCATAAAAGTAGTGGCGCTTAGTATTAAATGTTTTAGGTTTTTAAGAATAAACACCAGAGGGAAAAAAATAGAAGAGAGTTGTTACAATCTTAGGGTTTAGGTTTCATGGTTAATTCTGAATCCTGAGCCTCAGCTATCTTTTAAACAGAAAGAATTGAACAGTTCCCAGCATATACTCTAGCCGGTTTATACTGCACACTTGGACATGCTCAGACAATGGAGAACTGTCCTTAGGAATACGGTGGTTCAGTTAGGCAAATCAAAGTCTGAATTCGATTATACTAAAGACATTTGATTTGTTTAGATTTTAAAGCTTTTCTATCAATTTGATGAACAAGGTTCCTACTTCTTTTTCCATAAATGTAAAACTTCTCCACAGTAGTTAAATTTTCATTGGTCTTTATTTCCTGTCTTTCCTGTCCATCCCATTGGACAAGCAACTCAAGTTTACTTTTGCTTTACTTTTGTAACTCAAATCAATATTATAAGTCATATAAAAATTTCAACCCTTTTCATTATAGAAACCGTTTTTCCATCAATACAGATCATTTGAGGTTTTCTTAGAACTCCACCTTAAACAAACATAACAGCAATTTCTCCGCACACATTTGTTCAAGTATTATTCCCCTCACAGAACTAAAGGACAACCTATTCTTTTTTATTCACCTTCAAATTAAGCAACTTTGTTAAAAAAACAAAACCAAAAGGGGGGGATTAACAGCAAAAATAGGGGGCATTTCTTATATTCCAGTCAGTTTGCAAGCAAAATCACTGGAGCAAATCATAGGTTGCTAGAAGAGAACAATAAATCCTTCCACACCAGTATGTGCTACTTGCCCTGTATGGCAAGCAAACTTCAGTGGTGTCCAATCTAAGCTGACATCACAGATCAATTCGAATACTGCTTAACCTTTAGCCCCTACTCATATACATATTATAGTTAGCCCCACCAATCTAGTGACCAAAACTACCAATCCTGGACCCAGAACGATTCTATACAAACTAACCAGTAGAAATTATGGATCAATGAAATAAATGCAGCTAAAATTTTGACCGCAGAGTCGACTAAAACAATTTTATATCGGTGAGACTGTTATGAACATAAATGTTGTGTTATTTTTTGCTTCCTTTTACGGCAAAAGGTTTTATCTTTCTGCTAAAAGGATGAAACAGTTTACATACTTTACTCATTTATGAAATATATTGATCTCCAAAGGTCACCACAAAATTGGTAAACATGTATGTCAAATAAAGTCAATTGTTTATTTTCCTACAGCCAAATGTGTCCATTTGAAACACTCAAGTAATCCTGTAACAAATTTAACAATTGTGGACAATGGTAATAACTATTTCCCATGCTTCCTTCCACGTGCACCTTCTATTGACAAAACACTGCAGGCAAGGGGGGATATTACAGAATTTAGTCATTCAAGAGGAAACGAGAATTTATAGATTACTAGTTCTACAGTAGGTACCTAACAAGAAACACACTGCTATATCAAACTGTTTCTTAATCTCCCTTTTAAAAATGTAAGATATTAGTTCATCTGCAACTGTGTAACTTTAAAAAGCACAATAAAACCATGAATGCCTATTTAAAACCCCAACAATCTAGTCCACTGCAACACTACAAAGTCAAAAGGGAATACGGTCAAGTTCTTAAGACCACAAAACAAATATTTCCAAATACTGTTTTTAAAATTCCTATTTGTAATATACTTTCAGTTAATTTCTGAAGTTTCGTGGCAAATATTTAGGTCTTCAGAGACTCAGACACATACACACAATTTTTAAGTGGCAGAGCTGCTAATGTTTTTAGACACTGAAACATCTGTATTCCTGAATTTACCCCTATTTATAAAAAGGGAGGGGGCCCGCGAATATTCACGATGACCAACTTCTTTAATGAATTGCTCGGATATGTTGGGGTCTTCCTGAAACTTTTGGGTCTAAAAATCTCCTCTGAAATCCACAAGGAGAAGCCACTAAAAATCAGTTGCCATTGTGGTTTGGTGCTAACTACTGCTTACTACTCTTTCTCCACACCCCTCGCCCAGAACTGAGGAGCTCTCCGAAGTCCCAATGCTGGACCAAAAAAGCAAACCCAAAGGAGACCTTAAATCCTCTCGGCGCGGCAGGAGGCAGCCCGACTGAAGCGCCCCCGGCTCCTCCGCAACTACCCACACGTCAGGCCCCGATCCCACTGGGAGAGGATATTTAAGAAAGGAGGAATAAGCCATCACGTAGAGCCGATTGTGGCCCTTCCTGCCGGGATCTCTTACCTGCCGCCGACCCTCGCCCATCCCCAGCTCTCCCTGGCTGGGCTTGGCCTGGAAAGGGCACCCTCCTCTTCTCGCCTGTTTCTCATTCCGATAGGCGCTGGGGCCTCTCGTCGGAGACCGAGCGTGGCTCCAGGGGCTTCCTACAGGCCCCAAGACCAGTCCTTCCCTCCCAAAAACATCCCGCCGAACGCGCCCTAGCACCCAGGCACGGCACCCGGAAAGAGGGCCCCAGGCCTGTCTCCCGCCGACGCTGAAAAGAAAAGGGAGGGCAGTGAGGGCGAAGATGGGGCCTTCCCTGGAGCCAAGTACCTTGTAGAAAGCGCCATTGGAGCCCCGCACTTCCACCACCAGCTCCTCCATCTTCTCGACAGCCCTGCTCGCGCCGGGAGCCCGCCCCCGAGAGGTGGGCTGCAGGCGCTCGAGGCCCAGCCGCCGCCGCCGCCGCCGCGCTGCCGCACGCCCCCCGGCAGCGGCGCCGCCGTCACCGCCGCCGCCCGCGCTCGCCGTCTGCCCGCCGCCCGCTCAGAAGCGGCCCTTCACCGGAAGTGAAACCGAAACGGAGCCGAGCGCCTGACTGAGGCCGAACGCTCGGCCCGCTGCGCGTGTAAACAGTGAAACCATGTCATGTGATCGACGCCGTCCCTCCCCCCGTGGGCTCAGCCCCTCGGCCCCGCCCTCTCTTTCCTAGCCGACCTGGCGCGCGCGCCTGCGCGCTGTTGGGAGCTGACTAGAGTGCGGGATCCGACGTTGAGGCGCCTGGGTTGGGCGTGCGCGGGCTCCGCGAAGAGTGGGAAGGCGGGAAGGGAGGCGACAGGTCGCACCGCCTCGCGTCGCCTGGCGAGGGCCAGAATGTACATTTATGTTGAGATGCAAGTGGAGGTGTGGGAAAGGGCCTCCCTTGGAGATCAACTGCATCCTGTTATGTGGCTTCAACCTCGCTAGGATTGGAGGGGGATGTTTGGTTTGGTTTTTTCAAAGTAGCGCAGAGCCTGATTAAACTGGAGGTGGAGTGGAGGACGAGAATAACGGTGAGGGATTAGATTGGAGAAGACTTTGTGTTAGTAACGGTGGCAACCACGGTGACCCAGGCTTGTGTGACCCTTAGAGGCAGAGGGCAGAAAGTCACGCCCTCCCACCAAGGGATTTTGGGGTTTTGTGTGGAGACATCCAGTGCCCTTTGAGGGTCAATGCATTGCGTCAGGACCTCTGGAAATGTTAGTCCTTCCTCAGATCCGGCACTGACCCACATACTCTCATTTCCTCAGTTTAGTTTCTTACTTGACATACGTTAAAAAGGAATGTGTTAAGCACTTGCTAATTTCTTTAAAGTGCATTTCCGCTCCCTACTTTTATTCCCACCCTGTACCAGAGGGTGGGGCAGACGTGTGTAGCACTCACACAACTTGTGTCTGGGACCGGTGTACTTTCTTGCAATTTGTTACCCTCTCCTGTAGAACAAACCCTACCTTTCTTACTCTTGCCTCTGCACCGTGTTTGTATCCAACTGTATCCATGTTCCCGTTGTCTGGAATGCTTGTATCCAACTGAGAAGTTTCTCAAGCATCTACCATGTGCCAGGCACTTGTGCTAAGTGCTAGTGAGACATTGGTAAGCAAAAAAGAAAAGACTGCCAGCACTGAACTTGGAACCTAGGTGAGTAGATGGACGTAGATTATCAGAAAAGTAAATGTGGAGTTGCAGCTGTGCTAAAGGCTGTGAAGAATAGCTACAGCTATGATAGTGGAACATGACCCAATCTGGGGTGGAGCAGGGGTAATCAGAGAAGGGGAAATAATTCCAACTGGAAGGTTACAGGTGAGAGTTAACTGGCAGCACTGAGTTGGCAAAGGCAGGGTGAACTGCCCAGGGCAGGTAACCCAGAATGAGAGGCATTGTTGGGCTTCCAGTTCCCTGCCCACCCCACTCCCAGGCAGAGAGGTAACATTGCAGCTGGTGGAATTCCAGCTTTAAAGCAGTAGATCAAGGGTCACATTCCTTGAGGTCATAGTAAACAGGAGTGACCCATTGGACTAGAGTCTTTGGAGTAGTCACAAGAGGCAAATACCCTAATAGGGCTGAAAGAGAATCCCACCATAGGCTGAATGGGAGCAGAGCATTAACTTTAAGCCAGATGGAGTAAAAGGGAAGATATTGATTAGAATGATTATACCTTCCACATGTAAGATGTTGTGCAATTTACCCAGGACTTTCAAGCATGTCAACTCTTCACAACCACTTTTACTACAAGCCACGTTCAACCTGGTACTGTTCCTTGAACCCAATGATGCACTTTCATGCCTTCATGTCTCTGCACGTGCTTCCTGGGCCCCACAGATGCCCTTCCCCTTAGGGTTATCAGCCGGATTCCTATTAGCTAGTTATTTTACCTCAGGTGCAGAGAGTCGAGTTAACTTTGCTCCTCAATTCTCAGCACATTTTCACCATCAGTCCCTACAAAGCCCCTCTCTTGTTTATCGTATTTTATACTGTTTATATTAGTTTTCCTCATCTTTATCAATCCCCACTCTCTTTCTTCTAGACACAAACTACAATATGTTTGATATAGATCCTTGATAATTTAAGACAGGTAGTGTTTTGTGTATACATTTTACACAGATCGTATTGGATTGTAAATCCGTTTCCTGCTGTTTTACTCAACACTATATTTTTGAGCTATTTCAACAATGTTGTGTATACACTTAGTTTGTTGTTTCTAGCTGCTGCTGAATATTTCATAGATTTTAATGATACATATCCCTGGTGATGGGGCATCTAGGTTACTGCCAACTCCCTGATGTCATACTGTGGTAAAAACCCTTGAGAATGTCTTTACCAGCCTTTGCAAGAATTTCTCCTGTGCTCCTATAGAACTTTATTCATGCCTCTTGCTTCCTCTTCTCACTGCTTGGCATATAGCAGGGACTCAATAAATGTTAAATACCTCAAGTATGATGCTTAATGTACTAGAATTATTTATTTATATTTCTATTTCCCTAATTGGACTCTTAGTTCCTTCCAAACAGGGAGGATGTCTTATTTATCTTTGTGTCCCTGTCACATTAAAAAGGTTGATTTCAAGATATGTTTAATGAATGAATAAATGCTTATCCTCACTACTGGTACATACTGTGACTTAGTCTTGCCCACTCGACTTTGCATTTCAGCCTCACTTTCATCTCCCTTTCAAAATAGCTTACCTGAAATCAGACACTGAGCTCAGTCCTGCTCATATGCCTGCTCTTCCTATATTCTTCTCTCTCTCTCTGTTAATGGCAACTCTTACCTTCAAGTTAGTTGCTCAGGCCTAAAACAGTCACTTTGACTCTGTCTTTCTCTCACACATCTAATCTACCAGCAGTGTCCGGAATCTGTATCTTACAACTTACGCTGCTAAAACCATGGTCCAAGCCACCATCCTCTCTTACCTGGATTATGGCAACAACTTCTTCACTGGTATCCCTGGAGCCACTCTTGTCCTCTCTGCCAACCCCCAGCACAGAAGAAAGAATGACCCTGTTCAGGTGTCAATCAAGTTACTCTGCCACTCAAAACCTAAACCTCTCAGAGTAGAAGCCAGAGTCCTTATTTTTTCTGGCCCCAGGGCCCTATACACTCTGGCTTTTGTTATCTTCTCTATCTCACCTTCTACCTTCCCCCTTCACTCAATTCCAGCCATAATGGTTTCTTTGATGTTTCTTGAAAATACCAGGCAGGTTCTGTCAGTGTCCCCTCACTAGAATGTAAGCTTAGTGAGAACAGAGATTTTCATTTGTTTTATTCTCTGCTCATCCCCAGTGCCTACCATAGTGTTTGGAACATAGTAGCTGTTTACTAAATATTGAATAAATGAATGAATGAATGAATACATATCGAGGACCTGGCTGAGGTCAAGTTGGCCCCCATGCCTATGTTTATCTGATATTAGAATGATGCTTCAGTGTCTCTAGCCCTGCCTTGGCCCCTGGCTTCCATTGAATTACTTCCTGTTGTCTTTGCATTGATTTATTCTGTGTTATTTCCTGCTCCTTTGCAATTTGAGCCCTCTGAGTCCTTTTCGTGTCTCAATCCTAGCTGAAACATCTTCTGCCCTTTCCAACTCCAGAAATCCTATATACCCTTCAGGACCCAGCAAAAGTCTCACTTCTTTCATGATATTTTTTCTTACAATTTCAGCTCACCTTGACCTCGCCTTTTTTATTAGAAAAAAATTTAAAGACTATTTTTTAGAACAGTTTTAGATTTATGGAAAAATTAAGCAGATAGTGGAGAGAGTTCCCATATACTCTTCTAACCTCCCCTCCTTCCTGCAGTTTCCCCTATTATTAACATCTTGCATTAGTATGGTACATTTGTTACAACTGACATATTATTATTAACTAAAGTCTACAGTTTACATTAAGGTTCATTTTTTGTGTTGTACAGTTCTGTGGGTTTCGACAAATGCATAATATATCTACCATTGCAGTGTAATACAGAGTGTTTATATTGCACTAAAAATTCCCTGTGTTCCACCTATTCATCTTCTTTACCCCCGACCATTGGCAATCACTGACCTTTTTACCATCTGTATATTTTGCCTTTTCCAGAATGTTGTATATAGTTGGAATCATATAGTTTGTAGCCTTTTCATACTGTTCTTTTTTTCACTTAGAAATGTGCATTCAAGATTCCTGTATGTCTTTTCATGGCTTGATGGCCTTTTTCTTTTTATCATGGAATAATATTCCGTTGTATGGATATACCACTGCCTATTCATTTACCTGTTGAAAGACGTCTTGGTTGTTTCCAGTTTTTTTTTTTTTTTAAATTACAAGTAAAGCTATTGTAAAGTTTCTTGTGCAGGTTTTTGTGAGGACATGTTTTCAACTCTTCTGGGCAAATACCAAGGAGCGCAATTGCTGGATAATATGGTAACACTATGTTTGGCTTTGTAAGAAACTGCCAAATGGTCTTCCAAAGTGGCTGTCCAATTTTGCATTTTCACCAGCAATGAATGAGAGTTCCTGTTGCTCTACATCCTTGCCAGTATTTGATATTGCCCGTGTTTTGAATTTTGGCGATTCTAATAGGTGTGTAGCAGAATCTCATTGTTTTAATTTACAATTCCCTAATGTCGTATTATGTTGGGTATCTTTTTATATGCTTATTTGCCATCTGTATATCTTCTTTGATAAGGTGTCTTTTCAGATATTTTGCCCATATTTAAATTGGATTGTTTTCTTATTGATGAGTTTTGGGTTCTCTGTGTGTTTTAGATACCATCCCTTCATCAGATACATGTTTTGCAAATATTTTCTCCCAGTCCATGGTTTGTCTTTTCATGCATTTAACAATGTCTTTCACAGAGTGGAAATTTGTTAATTTACAAAAAAGTTCAACTTATCAATTTTTTCTTTCATGTATCATGCTTTCAGCATTGTATCCAAAAAGCCATCACAAAACTCATGTTCACCTGGATTTTTTCCTGTTATCTTCCAGAAATTTTATAGTTTCGTGTTTTACATCTAGGTCTATG